GCCCGGCCGGCTCCCCTCTCCGGGGGGCGGCCCCCGCTCCCCCGAAGGGGAGATGCCCCGGTGCCCCCTTCCCGCGCTTTCCGCGCTCCTCCCTCCCCTCAGCCACCCCTCCTCCCCCTCCCCGCTTTCCCGCGCGTCCGCTGGCGGGGGAGTCCCGGATGTTGGCCCCTTGCGCCGCTCTGGCTTCCATAAAAACGTCCTGGCTTCCATAAAAGGGCAGCGCCTCCCTCTCCTTCGCCGCCCAGTCGTCCCTCTCCCTCCCCTGCTCCTCTTTCCCCCCCTCTCCGTCGCCATCCCCTCAGGCGGCGCCCCCGGGGGGCGGGGAAGGCTTCGGGGGGCGGTGGCTCCCGTCCTGGCTACGTCCGCAGGGCGGAGAAGAGAAGCGAAGCGGCCGGGGACCATCGGGCGAGGCAGGCAGAGGGCAGCGGCAGCGGGGGCTTTTCCGCACGCTCGCAGCCCCGCCGGGGGAACCGCAACGCACGCGCGCGGCAGAGCGGAGCCGGGGGGGCCGCTTGAAGGGAAGCGAGGTACGGGCGGGCCGGCGGGGGCTTTTCGCCTCGCGCGGAAAAAGAGGACGGGGCTCCTTCGTTTCTCCTCTGCTTCCACGTCATCCTTGCTCGGTCGGTGGGCGCAGGGACAGCGGGAACCTTGGGATCCGTGTGGGGGTGGCGAGGGAGAGGGATCTGGGGGTTGCGTGGAGGGTTCGTGCCCTCCTCAGGGTCCTAGTCCCTTTTGAGGTGACCAGCTTGCCTTCTCTGCTCTCTCCTATGCAAATTACGCTCGCACGCGCTTTCAGCGGTCTCATCTCACTCCCCGTCCTTTCCACCCTTTTTTTTCAAGCCTTCTCTTCTTTGGCTTACCTGAGAGGTTAGCCTTTTTCAGAAAGGCGTTTTTATTTCATGTGATCCGAGATCCAACAGGCACATCCTCCTCCGTGAGCATTATTTTGGAATGGGATATCCATTGCTCCTTTCTTTTCCTTGCCTACTTCAGCCCTACAAAATCTGAGTAATGCTTTCTCTTGTCCCTTGGAAAAGGAGCTTGCAAAATTTTCTTCCCTATGTAGAGCCACTTATCTGTGCTCCTTTAAAATGCTACTTTGTTAAGATGTTTATGCAATCTTTCTACAACAGTGAATATATCTATGTTTTGTAGGATGAGTATTGAAGAGTAGGAGATCATGGAGGTTATTATGGCTGAAAGGATGTGCTTGCTCTGATGAATTAGTCAAATTTTCTTGAGTAGTTAGATCTTAGAGGGAATATGAATCCTGAACTTCGGGGTCAAAGGGACTTTTCTCATTAACATATTGTAAGGACAGATAAGATCCTGAAGAAGGGAATCTTTGTTTAAACATACCTGCAAGTTGAAGCTTCAGTTTATGTTCCCTTTAAGCTTACATAGCCCTTGCTGGGCAGCTAGAAATCTGTAATCTGGGTCCACCCTCCCCCGACTGCCTTCCTAAGTAAATTGAGCTGAGCTGGGAACTTTCTTAGTTTTGTTACTTCTTTAGAGTTGATTTTAGGGAGTTTGTTTCCCTTCCTTGGATATTTCTTTTTCCTGCTCTCTTCCGTCTATTTTCCTCATTGCTGTGATTTTGTTCACTTGAGTGGGGAAGTAGGGGAGCGGCTCATGAGCTGGGAGCATGAAGCTTCAGCTTAACTAATGAAATGAATGCCATTTCCTCTGTTTCAGCAGGAAGGAGGAACGATGGCTCTGGACGGTATACGGATGTCAGATGGCTGCTATGCTGATGGAACGTGGGAGTTAAATGTGCATGTCACAGACTTGAACAGAGATGTAACACTGAGAGTCACTGGGGAAATACATATTGGTGGCGTCATGCTGAAACTGGTGGAAAAACTTGGTAAGTTGCAATAGACAGTAGGAATTACAAAGTTGGTGCTTCTCTGAATGCTGGATAGGGAAATGAGTATTTGCTTTTTTTTTTTTTTTGCTAGAGGAACTTGTTGAAAGAGATCATCAGGCAGCCTACAGGATGCAACAGAACCACTGAATCTACATCTGCCTGTACTGACATATTACAATTGCTGCTGGGTATTTCCTTGCTTTATAGGATGACCCTGAGTTTCTTTACAACATTCTACTTGAGTAGAAACACGTTCAAATTTCATAGAGAAATACAGTGACCAGTGATAGAATATTATCCTAGCTAATAGTATAGCAAACTGCTCCTTTGATGATCCCGCATATTTAAGATTTAAAAAAAAATTCAGTAATTATGAGGAACCTCTCATTTGTTTAACACTAGAACAGCTAAATTTTGTGATGCTGTGATATATGTGCTTAAATCTGAAGACAGATTTAAACCCATCTGAAGAATGTATTTAATTATTTAGAACATTTATATGGCTGACCATCTTAAATATATAAATATATAAATATATATATATATATATATAAATATATATAAATATAACATCTGGTTGGCAAACAACCAATTTACCAAAAAAAAAAAAAAAAAAATCCCATCACCAAAGTTAAAAAAAATCAAATATAAGGAAAAAAAAAAACCCCACCTGAGGTATCATATAACAGTTTCACAACAATGAACATCTGTATTAGGCTCCCCTAACATCTTGGCCCTAATGCCTAGGGACCAACTGGATCATAACAGCCTTCTGGAAAGTAGAGAGGGTCAGGTCATCCAGATCTCGGGGGCAGTCTGTTCCATAGGGCAGGCACCACGCCCTGTACTATGATGAGTGCTTTGATGAACTTTTAATTAGAGGCTGCAGTTGAACATTGCAAGTAAAAGGGCTACATTGAAGTGTTTAAGCTGAAAATGTATATTGCAGAGAAACCTAATATTCTCCCTGACATATTTTAACATGCTGTTTGTTTATTGTGAGATATTATTTGAATGTGCAGCCAAAAGGAGAATAATTCAATGAAAGCTTTTATTGCTCCGCATGTTAGATATGCTAGCCTTTCTATGCCTCCTGAAATACTGAACAATGTGCTGTATATACAAGCTTCATATAGAAGTTATCCTGCTTGATCCTCTGTTGCTTCTTGTGTTGTCATTGACATGGGGTCCTCTGTTAGGCAAACTGAGAAAGGGTAATTAGCACATCTTAACCTGTGATTTAAATATTACTCTATTCTTGGGTTGCCATGGCAAAGAGCTGTGGCTGGTTCAGTTTGCTTCTTTACCCTCAAGTGTTCTGTTCTTCTGTGAGAAGGGTTCTGAACTAACCCTGTACAGTATCACAAATGTGGCATAAATAAAAAGCAATTTTACTTATTCTTTTCTAATTGCAGAGAAAATTAGGAAAAGTTCTCCAAAGATTATATGATGGAAAAATTCTAACACAATGCTTTATTGTGGTAGTTATTCTTTTATCTTTTGGCACATAAAATATTCAATTAACTTTTTAGACTAACTGCTTGGGTAAGAAGAATCTTTGTCTATTGTTGCAAAAATATATACTCCTTTGCAAGAATGTTTTGCTGCCATAGCAAAGTTTTAATTCTGGTTTTCTGAAGTGTGTGGAGGTGACCACTTTCCTTAGTCAAATGACCTCGAGTCTGATGGTGTTATGGCTTGTATTACAGTCTCACAGATAATTATACCTACAGCAACTAACAGTTTCTTCCATTTTAGTAGTACATCAAACCTTCTGATTAAATCACTGTGAATCACTGGCAATCTTTGATGGGCATGGCCTTAACTTTTTGCTATTACTGCTAACGCTGCTACCTCTTATGTAGGCATACATACAGCATATTTGTTTGACATGACATAGGCTATGTCTTCGAGGTTAGGATCTCACTGAAGTACATGTATATTACTAAATTACTTGGCACCATGTTTTCAATCTTGAGCATTAAGTGCTAAAGTTCTTGTCTTGATACCAAATGCTGACTGACTGACAGACAGATAGATAGTTGGTAAGCTAAAATGTTCCTTCTGTTAAAATACATCTGAAATTAGTTGGTGCACTAAAAACAAACAATCCCTATCTGGTCTGTAGCACATCTTTGGTTCTATATAAAGAACTGATTTGTTAATTAGTTACCCACTTGTATAATTTTTGTGCAGTTAACCTCCCCCCCCATCCTGTATTGTATTAACATTTTACAGTGATGTAATAAGGAAGGAAAAGCAGATATAAATACTTGCTTCAAAGGGAAGCTTGTGTTTGTATGAAAGACTTATTTAGGCTTGATTTGATTTTAGAACTGGGAAGTCAAAGATTGCTTAAATGAACTGTGGGGTCAGCATTCAATTTTATTCAGTTTCTACACATTTCAAAATATTATTGTCTTTTTCATATATGCCAGTATATAGTATTAAATCTGAGTGTTGCTGATGACTTCGATATATAATTTTCTTAAATGTAGAGTGGAATCTGGAAGAGAGAAAAGTAGCTGTTAAGTTTGGTTTCATTCAGACCACTGTGGATTTGAATGACTGTTCCTTATAGCACTGTTATATTTTGTTATTGTTTGTAATGGTTTTTATTTTGATGTTGTTTTTTGTGAGGGTAAGCCACTTTGAGCCTTGTTGAATTGAGTGGCATATAAACTGTAGTAAATAAATAAAATAATAAACAAGCAGCTCATAAAGATTATTCCTGAAACTGTTTTGCAGCTGGGTTGATAATTCAGAAACAAGACAATCTAGCCCATTTTATGTGATATCTCAAGACACTGATGCTTAATAGCTATTTAATAGCTCTTTTAGTTTTTTCCCCCAAGTAGCCTAATCTCTGACATCAGATAGTAAAAAATATTTTATTTCATTGCCTGCTATATTATAAAATCCATATGTATTGCAGAATTTCAATAGTGAAGACTGCTCCTTTGTTGCTTGAGTTGATTCTTTTTTAAGTGTTCAGACTGAGAAATTAGGGGTAGGAGTGTGTAAAACATAGAAGGGAAAAAGCAAAGCAATTCTTCAAAACTTTGTTGCTGCTTTGATTTAATATGTGGATTGCAAAATGCTAAAAGGGGTGGCTTCTTTAAAAATACACCCTTTAATTTGCAAATATATCCTTAAATTTGTGGATGCTAAAGGCTCAGTTTGTAGTCCTATTTTGATATGTCAAGAGGCAGAAAGGAATTAGGAGATTCATTATTCAATGGAGAGATGATTCAGAATTTGTTATTTCATCTTGTGAATAGCATAGAAGTACTATAAAATCAGTGATCTTTGGTGTTTCATTTGGATCTGAAGCCTAAGATGTGTACACTACTCTGCAGTAGATATTACTGTGAAACATCTAATCTAGGGATATTTGTAGCTTCTGTATACTGTTTGTGGTTACTCTTTGCTTTTGATTATGCATTTGCTTTGATAATATATACTAGAACAGAACATGTTGGGGTGAACAAGATAGGTCTATACAGCGTTAATCTGAATGTATGTCAGATTCTAAATTATATTGTCTATTAAAAAGCTCAGAGTACCATGCAAGTAAATATGTCATGAGATTTATGCTAGTAATGGATGTTAGCTGGAACATGTCTTTTTAATAAATTAGACTATTTTTCATTGTACTGACCTTTAAAACAAAACTGCAAGCTCTCTGAATAGTTTTATTTTGTCTTTTTAGTATATCCTATTTATCAAATTATTCTTAAAAGTCTTGAGATAGCAATATTTGTTTGGTATAGAAGTACTCTGCATGCATCCTCTTGTTAATGGCATAAACCAGTTTTGCTAACATTCTTACAAACTCTAATAAAAATGAAAGTACTGTAAACATAGTGGTCACTTCTCCAATTGTCCATCTGCTGTTTATAACATTATTTATAATCTGTATCATATTTCATATCTTACTAAAGACTGATTCTAAGCATGTTATTAACAAGATGCTGAATTATTTACATGAAGCAGATACATATATAATGTACCTTGTCATTACAATAGGAATAGGCATCATAGTATTCTCCCAAATATTTGAGGAGTAAAATTCCCATGTTCTCTTACTATGAGCCATGCTGTTTTAAGAAAATAGAGATGCATCACAGGTGATAAATAGGAAGGACTCATCCAAATTCATATAGCTCTAAGTATAGCTGTAGGCTTAGGATGTTGCTATATGAACAGCCCCATACCGCTAAAATAACATGTGAAAAAAATCTGTTGAATCATGCTTGCATCTTATATTTTGTTATAGGGATTGAGGTAAAAGGTTTGGCTGTTCTAGATGGCTGCCCTTGTTTCAAAGAAATTTTGATTATTTTACTACTGATGGGTACAAAATTAAGTTTGCTTTAACAGCTGATGCTGCAGTTGTGGAGCACTTCCTAACAAGGTTTACCAGAATCTCACTCATTTGTATTCTTTACCTAATGAGATCAGTGATTCAGGTTTTTGATAGATCATTTTGTTGAACTTTTCTTTGTTTTTTTGTTTTTGGGATACATGTAGCATGGACTTTAAGAACAAGTATTCTACTTACATCTTAGCTTTTCTGTTGTTCCTGATCACATTGGTACTGCCTGATTTTGAAACAGTTGAATTAAATCTGCACTTAGTAATGAACAGTGGGGTAAACAATACTTCAAGCCTTTCCTTCACTTTTTTGAACAATCTATTTAAAAAAAAATTATTGGCATGCATAGTTCAGTAAGCAAGAATTCATCTACTACTCATTCATAGGTTAAACTTCATCATTTTGCCTGGTGTTCTCAGCATGGAACAAACTGAGAGACATTACCTTCCACTTTCTTCCTTCCATGCCTAATCCTTGATATCAGTCATAGAAAAGAGGTTGCTAGATATTTGTAGCTGGATATTTGTCTTCTGCTTAAAAGTTTTGTTAACTTTTTTTCCCGCTTCTCAGATTTGAGAAGCTGAATGGATTTAGGATAGAATATACAAGTCTTCCTTGT